AAGTAGCCTTTCTGTGCCTATTAATGTGATGACTTTAAGAGCTGATATCTTGGGACCTTCCACCTTGTGGAACAAGTTCTGTACCCACAAGGACAGCTGCAAGTTGAGCAGAGGTTTGGGATGTTTGAAGTAGACTGGGCAGAGAAGGAATAGAGTACAGTATGCACTGTACTTCCCTCTTCTCCTGCCCTATGGTGAAGCATGGATAGTGTTCAGTCCTGGACCAGTGACAGAATTAAAGACCATTGTTTCTTATGAATCCCTAAGACTGGGAATGGGAGCTTTACATCACAAGAGTCCTGTGCAGTTGGATACATACAGCCAAATTTTCAAAAGTTCCACCTCATTTTGGGTGCCTCCATGTTTGAGTGCCCAGCTTGAGATATCTTGGGCCTGATTTTTCTGAGGTGCTAAATGCCTGCAGTTCCATTTGGAGCTGTGTATACTTATCTCCTCTCCAGATGAAGGCAAGGTGTCTCAAGTTAGGCTCCCAAATCCAGTGTCCACTTTTGAAAAAAGTGATCATGCAAGCACTTGGCTTTGCAGATTGAGGAATCTGAAAAATAATGTTCTTCAAAATGGATGAACTCTAAATATTTTCTAAAACAGTTTTGCTCTAAAACATGTAGCAAACACAGAACACAGGTTGGTGTGGTGTGCTATATAAGTTCTATTGTTGCTCTTTTGGGAGAGTGACAACTTACTCGTGGCTTTGGCACAAGTGAGTAAAGATCTGAGTCATCCCAAATGCGTGCTGATCAAAGCTTTCTGCTGCACCACACCATTATGGATAGTCTGTATTCACGTGTGTGCACACATACATACAACCACACAGTGCAAAATTTTTAGGAGAAGGAAAGAAAGAAAACAAGTGAACATCCTTATATTCATGGAACAATCTAGACTTCATTAAATACATATCAGTAATAGGAAATCTAGGATTGCTTCTCCCCATGAGTAGTGAATCAGACATGCATTTCTTTCGTGTTAGTGGGACTTGCAGGATTTTTTTTCTGTGAGCCACATTGTAATGTCACTGCACCTAGTTAAGTGAAAGTATTTGAGGGTGCATTTGTCATAAGATGATTCTCTTTCGTGGTTTAAAATCACAAAATTCTGAGGGCCAGTTCCCTCAAGTTCTTACCTGTGTCATAGATAGACTGGCCCTCTTACAGGAAGAATGCAAGGTCCCAAGCCTGGTTTTCCTTGTGGATGGACTGCCACATATTGTTGCCTCATTAAACTAGCAAATATGTCTTGTGAAAAACTGTGCCTCTGGCTATGTGACATCTGTAGAACTGGTCTGATTCCATAGTAAGAAACCAGATGCACTTCAAATGCATTAAATAAAATAAACAAATGATTTAATTCATATTACTTAAATATATTCATTTTCACAACACGACCAGATACGAACATGGTATGAGGACAGAGTAGTTTTGTATATGTTAAGAATCATAGAAATTAGAGATAAGAGATCCAATAGGTTGAGTTCACCCACTCCTCTAGCCACAGTGTCTTCTCCAGGGCATTGTCCAGCCTCGCTCTAACTGATCCAAGCAATTGGTCTTCTGCCACTTCCCCTGCAAGACATCCCTCACTGTTAGGAAACAATTCTTCATGTCCAACATCAATTTGCCTTTGCTCAGATTCAGAGTTATCCCACCATGAACCACCCCTCCCTCTCCTTGTGGTTTAAACCCTTCGGATGTATTTTGTGGATGGTTACAATGTCCTCTCTTAATCATTTCAGATTTGAAACTGGATCTAGAAAGGTGAAAGGGCAGGACAGCAGTCCTGGGCCTCAACTTTTATCCCTAGAGCAGATAACAAATCTCGACCTCAGTTATAACAAACAAATCCCCCACACAGCCCTGTCGTCTGTGTGTAATGTTAGAGGAGTAATGTAGGGCACAGTCTCTAGAGAGGAAGGTGGACACAATCCCTGCCCTTTGCCCATGGGCCCAACCCACAGAGTTGGGAGGAAAATGTGGGCTGAAGGTTCTGTTGAGCTCATTTGGAAGCGCTGTGCCCTTTTAGATCAATATTAGGGTTTATATATGTATATGGGGGCGGGGGTATATATAATTCTGAGCTGCCCTTTGCTTTAGCCCAGTGAAAGTTGGAGACATGGAAAATAACTATTTATTAACACAGAGGATTGAAATCAGAGGAATGGGATAAATAATTCCCTGTGTTTTTGCTAGCATTAAAGCCTCCTTCCCATTGCCTCAGCCTATGATCAGATGAGGCTAACAAACAAGAAAAACTCACTGGCTTAAACTGTTTCTTTTAATGGTTGTATAGGACATATTCTCAACACTTTAATATCTCGCGCTGTCTCGCTCTGTCACCAATGAAGCTGGGATTTAGCCACACGTTGATCAGCAAGGACACACAGCTCCAGCCCCTCGGCGGCAGCTGGACAGCACCTTTAGGTGCTTTTGTCAAGTGCTAGGAAATAAAGTTTTCCTGTGAGATACAAAAAGGAAGAGGGGGAAAGGGATCCTCAGCTGGGGCAAGTCCTAAGTTAGCCTGTGATCCCCCTTGGTGTGCTCATGCCAAGGCACAGCTGTGACATTAACAGGCAGACATTCAATTCTGCAGATCAAAGCAGCCCTTCTTCAGACAATTACAGTAAAATGGAAGCTCTCCTTCAAGAGAAATGCACGTCTTTCTTTCTTTCTTTCTTTCTTTCTTTCTTTCTTTCTTTCTTTCTTTCTTTCTTTCTTTCTGAGAAAATTGGTTTTTCAGGGCTATAGAAAGAGCCGATTGGAAGCTGAAATCCTCTGTCTCTGCCCAGGGGTGGGATTCACAGGGTTAGACATGTAACATCTGAAGGCTGATTTTTTTTAAATTGATATCCAAGAATAAAAGAGAGAATAGTAGGAGAAGCTGATCAGGAATGAATAAAGTCTCCTTTTAAGCTGAAATACCCCCCTCCCCCCATTTTCCCTCCAGAAAAGCCGGACTGTAATTGCTTGCAATCACTCGGCACAAATTGTCTGCTCGTATTTGCTTTTTAATTTTGTATAATCTGGTCCATTTCGCTCTCCCTGCCTTTGAGCTTAACCTTTCTCTCATTCTCTCTCGCACGCGCCTTCCCTTTCTCTCTTGCTTTAATTCTTCAGTGTTGTTAAAAAAATTAGTAATAATTCCCAATGATATTTGATGGCTTTTACTAAGCAAAGGCACTTAGAAAAAATAAGACTGAATGGACACAGGCCACATCTGGTTAGATTTTCATCGCTGTCTGTGAAGTGTTTATTTATTTATGTATTTATTTTATGTATTTTTTCCTCAGAATACAATGGCTATTTTAATAAATATGTAGAATGACCCCAAAGTGAGCCAAGAGTTAGAAATCCTTTGTGCCCCCTGCAAGAGAGAGAGAATCCCAGGAAAAGAGAGAGGTTGCTTTAACTCGCTGTATGTGATTGGATTTCCCAGCATACCTTTCAATGTTCCTTTGTATCAAATTATTTACATTAAAGACTATGATCATGAAATTGAGATTACAGTAAATGCTGCTTATGTTAAAGAGTCTGGATTTGGAGGGAGGGATGGCGAGAGAGAGCCATAGCAGGAGCAGCAAAAGAGGGAGAAAAAATCAGGCTGTACCAGAAAAAGGGAGAAATGGGGCACATGTAAGATGAGGGAAAGTGGAGGCTGGCTGAGTGGGATAGAAGTGGGCGGAGCCATTAGGCGGGGTGGTTTGTTACCAGCCCCATTTTATATACATTTGGTAGTTAGAATTTTTGGTTTGAAATGGGGATATTGCATGTGCTGAAGTTCTCCGTGCCACACGGCGGGAAGAGAGACATGTGGATGTCGCATTTATTGCCAGGAGCTCCTAACTTCTGGGTGAGAAGTGACGGAGAACCGTGGCGTCGGTTGAGATTTTGCCTGGCAAGTGCTAGTGATTCCCATCTCTAGTCCTCCACCACTGCATGTTCTGTCCATTCCATGTAAATATAGCTGTCTACAGTGGCCAGATCCTGAGGGCCTTTCTCCAGCAGACTCCCATTGAAACCAGGGCTCAAGATTTGGCCCCGTTTCCCTGTTTTTGAGTAGAAACAAATTTTATTCTTATGTAGTTTTGATTGTACTAGAAAATGGTGGCTGAAAATGGGGGGGGGGAACCTAGAGAAGGGCAAACTCCATCAGAAAGCGTAGAGAGAACATTTCCCCTAAACTGTCTGTCAGAGAGAAAATAGCTTCTCATTGTTCATACTACTTTTAAAGATGAATACATGTAGCTTCAGTGGCATATCAGGGGCAGCTCAGAGATCAAATGGTTGAAGACTTCTACCACTCTGCGACTTTTCACATTTTTTTAACAGCTGACTGCCCTTAGCCAACTCTACAGCCCATCCCTCAACTTCACCTGCTGTTCAGTCTACCGCTCTCCCTTATGTATGGCTGGCAAGCAGCGAAACCTCTCGCTCAGCCATTCCAGCTGGCTGGCCATTTGCTCACCTGGGTCCAATATTCATTGGTTCTTTGGCTGCTAGTGGTTACCTTTCCAAAATGGTAGGGTAGTACTCTGGCTTAGTGTGTATGGTCATGCTGACGTCTAATGGCTGGAGGCCCATAGAGGTCAAAGCCTTATCACTCTTCCCAGCTGACAGAGATTCTCATTTAGCTCAAGTGCTATAGATCTGTTTTGGGGGATCCTTGGTTCTGGGCTGAATACCCAGTTGTTGTCTATAGTTCATGGATTCATCGTAATCCTCCTTATTCCACTAATACTCCCTTGCCCCAAAATTAACAATAAGAACAACAACAATGCTACCTAAGTCTTATTGGTGAAGATGGCCTGGGGCATGTTAGCTCACCTTTAACTTCTCATGGTTGTTGTCAGAGATTGTATATGCAACCAAAGCAGGGCTTAGAAGCCTTGTGGTAATGGTTTGTATGTAGTTTGTGGCTAGAAAAGGAATACATTGTTTTATTCATTTCAGAAGAAAACATGAGGATTATTTTGTTTTAATTTCTAGGGATTCTGAAGGGACGATTGTAGCCAGCAGAAGAGATGCCTTTTCCTTAGCCCTGTAGAACGTCTCTGGAAACAAACCTGGAGCCCAGTGCTGTGCAGGGACTCCCTGGAGAAGCAAGGGCCTTGAAACTCGACAGAAGTGCCCCACTGCTCCACCAAGAGTTCTCTTCTCGCACACATGCCCTTCTTACCGGGAGCCAGCCTGTGATGTCTCTGGTAAAGAACCTTTTCTTGATTTCTTTTACACCCAAATTTCTGCTAAAAATATAGGGCAGAGATTGCACAGAGAAAACGGAACATTTTTCCTGGGGATCTCCACTCTACTCACAGTGTACTGAGGCTGTAATTGGAGCAGGCAGAGAGGCATTCAGAGGGGCCCCTTCACCCTTGAAAAGATGCACAGATTCACCCTTTAAAAACAAAGAGTTGCTGATTCCAAGCAAACAAACCTTTAGAAAAAAGTGCAATTTAAAAAAGAAAATTACATGTATATTTTTTCTTGACACATTTTTAAGTGCTGTTTGTAACTGACTTACAATGCTCATATTATTCAGCTTTTCATTTGAAATTCTAATCAGTCCTTTGAATGGGCTAGTGTGGCCTGGGAAATGAAGGGAATAAAATATTTCCATTGAATTATGATTTTTTGCTGACTCCTTTGCTCACATCCCAGATCCACATTCTCTGGCACTAGACCATTCCTGATATAGTCTTAGTTGTTAGTCTGACAAAACATAAGAATACAGGAAACTATAGAAATGGAAGATAACCTGATAACATACCCAGGTCTGTCCCATCATATTGAGGTATTTACGAGCACACCCCTAAAGTTTGGAGGGTTTGGGATTTTATCCAAGTTTCCTTCTGATTTACTTTCCCTGCTAGATCACAAAGGAAGCTATTTTCTCTTAAGTTATACAGTATCTTTCCTAGTGGCAGAGCCTTGTTCTCTAGTTTTTCAGATTTAGCCATACCCAGCTTAAAAAGATAAGGCTGGTTTCTCAGACCAACACCTGGTATATATTACATATCTTTAGTAAATACAACAACATTTGCCAAAACGCGTGGTTTAAGAAGATTGCTGTGCTTGAATTAAATAGAGGTTTAAACATCTGTTGGTGCTTTTTAAGGATGTTCATAGTTTAATGAGAAAATAGCAAAACCGGTAGCGTTGTCCTTCTTAGAAAGAGAAGATCTTTTTTGGACGATGATGGACAAAAATTCATGTTTCTGGTGTGGAGCACTACAGCATTCTAGAGCTGACTAGCGGCCTCATTCTCCAAGGTGTCCCCTGAGTGCTACCTGTGAGGTGCTGATCATCCGCAGCATCCACTGAGTCGACGGAAATTCGGAATGCTCAGAGTTTGACGGGGTTGGGTCTCAGAGTTGTCTCCGCTGGAATCCTGTATCTCATGTATTCTGGTGAAACACTCATTCCTCTGGTAGTTGTAACTTGCCTAAAGTCACCCGGGATGAGTGTGGCGGATCACGGAAGTCTCTTGAGTCTTAGGCCAGTGCCCGAACCCCTGTGCCATCTTTCCTCTGGTCTTGTGAAACCTCAACTGGGGATCAGGGCCAAGGTGCTGTGTACACAACAAAAAACTCTCCTTCCCCTAAAGAGCTTGTCATCTGTGCGTGTGACCACAATCAACAGGTGGATCCAACAGACGGGAGAGCATGAGGTAACGGGGTCAATTAGGATGAGAATAATAAAGAGTGGTCCTAGCATATCAGCTGCCTAAGCATTGGTGGGTTTTATGGAGACCTCATGACAGAGGTGAGCTTTAAGGAGAGATTTGCAGGAGGATAATGTCGTGGCTTTGCACATTGTGTATGGGGAGCTCAGCTCCTGAATTGGTGGCGTGGGAGAAAGCACAGTGATGGGGGAGGTAAAACGGGACTCCAGGCTGGTGTCACTGGCAGTGCTGTGGGGGGCTTAGGGGTTCAGTACAAGATAAATGGAGTGGTGGAGTGGTAGAGTCTTTAAATGTTGACAAGGAGTTTAAAGTTTGCTATGGAGTGGAAGGGGGAGCTGGGGAAGGACACAAAGAGGAAGATGATGCTGTAGCAACAAGCTAGAAAGATGGTCTTTGCAGCAGCATTTTGAATGGATTGAAGGGAAGTATGATGACATTTGTCAAGGCCAGAAAGGAAGCCATGGCCTGGATGAGTTCTACCTTTATAAATGGAGAAGAAAGGACTGATCTCAGAGAGACTGTGCAGGAAGAAGCAGCAACACAGTCTCGATGTGTGGGTCTAGAGAAAGTACAAAATGGTGAGAGCCAGGGAGAATGGTGATGTTGGCCACCTTGACTCAGAAGTGGGAGGGAGTGAGGAGCCCTTAGGGGGAAAGATTAAGGTCTAATTTTTAACCAACCTCCTATTCCTTTAAATAGGGTTCCACATAATACCAGAGCGAATGGCGTCTCTGCAGCCAAACGGTGCATTTCTGAGGCTACGAGGGCCTCAGCTGTTAGTTGGTTAAGTGTTAGGGGGCATTACGGTGAGTTGAAATTCACTCCCATCCAGTCAAGGATGTGAGATCCTCGATACCTGAGTGTATGTTTGGACCCTTTCGTTCTCCAGGGCGCTCTCTTCATAGCAGATGTTTCAGTGTCTTTCAACCAGTGAGAAAAGTTCATTATATTTTTAATGTGATTTTAAAAAATTAAAATAATGATTTGATATACAGGCATTGATGAAAGATGTATTTTTAAAGCAGTAAATTAAAATCTCATTAATATTTCAGTGAGAATATTTTGTGCTTATCTGTTTCATCTCCATTTTTGACCTATGGCATGGAGTTCACAGCATGAAGGAGATGGTGAAATCTGTTCACCATAAAATGTTAATTATAAGTAAATTACAGCACAAACGTTCAATCAGCCACATTAATTCTACATAAAGTGAATTATTGTAGCAGAAAATTTTAAAATGTGACTGAATTTTATAATCTTGAGCCTCCATTTTCTACCTTTTCTTTTAGTGCTGAACCCACTGTTTCCTTCTCCGGCATCGCTAAGCTCTGGGCATGTGGGTCGCAAGGAGATGTTAAAAATTCAGAAGTACAATTTGATCCATTTGCACGCAACCTCCTGAATGACTCTTAATTACATAAAAATCTCTCTGCCCAATGGCAAAATGTAACAGATGTTTGAACTGTTTACCCAGTTGTACTTGCCATCTTTCTAAAGTATAGAGCTAAGAAGGCCCTAACTCAATACCCTGAGAAACATGAGGCTCTTTTTCTGGTGTTACTGAGGTAGATGGCAGTACCAGGGCATTTTATCCAAAGAGAAGTGGGTGGGACCAACTGAGTAGACCAGTGTAATGTTTTGCACATTTTCAAAGCATTCAATCCAGTATTAGTCCTGCAACTCCTATTGACAAGTGCTACAGCTGAATCCCTGCGCACTTCCTTGAAAATGTAGGGGAAAGTGTTGCTGGTCTCTAGACTCTTGAGGTACCAGAGTTCTCATTTAATACTGCAACTACATACATAAAGTTCAGCTTCCGAAGTTAAATCCAAATGGCATTAAAACATTACAAAAAATTCTGCTGAGACAAACTGTCTTGCAATAAATGCTGAATATGCCATCTGTGTTCTGAATCACCCTGATGCTAGCACAGCCAGGAGATCACACAGCTCCTCAGTGTTCTACGTCTCAGTAGTAGTCCCAGAAAAATAGTTTCCCATTTGGTGAATAAATGCCCCAATATTTTCCTACTCCTGAAAAAAAAATTGGTCAAGGCCTCTAATAAATTCACAACTTTCTGGCAAAAACAGCAGATCTGGCAAAATGATTGTTCTAGGTCTCTTCTCTAATGTCTCTGATCAATTTCAAAGGCTTATTACAATGCAGCTATGAAAAGCTGAGAGATTCAAACCTGGTTTTAATCCCATCCTGTACTTGGAAATGTTTTGTGAATGAGATGAATGGGGGTTTTGTACCTGTACCGTCTTCGGCTCCACCATGCAGTAAAATGTTATGTGATTAAAAAAAACAATTTGAATGTGGATGTTTCTTAAATCTTTTAAATCTCAAACAATGACTAATGGGCATATTCTTTGGAGACTGTAATGGTGACATTTCACTGCCTAGAGACATCTTTCAGCTCCTAAAGCAACTATAAAACATTTTTCTGGAGAGCTTCCCTTCTCAAGAGTTCTAGACTGCACCATGGCCCCCAAGGAAATACTCAAAAGTATAGAAACTGTCTGCTTATTAGAAACTGGTATTCCATTTGGCAATACTGAAAGAGCCTCTAGGCCAAGCACCTGCTTGTTGTTTGGTAATGGATAGAGCTACTCCATATGAACATAAAGCTGATTCAATTAGGGTGCCAAACTGTCTCACTGGTCTGAAAATCACTACAGATTAGTACCAAGATCCCCTACTTTGATAATTCAGTACAGTTTACATCTGTCTCATCCAACTGTCACAACTGAAATAACACCACTCCCACCTAATCCCTAATCACTGCAAAGGTAACCTTGCTGAGCAGGTAAATGCTCGCTGTACTTGGCTATGTCATCCTCATCTGAACTCCGCATTTACTGTTGCATAGTAAATCTGTGTGCGAATGTTGTTTGTGAACAAATATCCAATGTCTGTGACATAGCTCAGCTCTTCCCATTAGGAGAATGTAGGGACTTTGCACTGGCTCCTCAGCTCAACCAGTCCATTAAAATCCCCAGAACCCCACCACAAAGCTGCAGCACTTTGTGAAAGATTGAAATGCTTTTTATGGTAGTAGAGAACACACAGAAATGAAACTCCTAACACATTTATGAAGGGAAGAAAAATCCATCTGTAAAAGTGGGGTGGGGGTTGAGAAATTTCCAATTTGCTAATGGCAGGCACTGCTAATCTACAAATGTATGCAGGAGCTGGTGATCCTATAGCACAGTGAGATAACCTTGAGGATTAAAATGTCTGAGAGGAAAGAATTAGAAAGCTGGCCCTATTAAGGGGAAAGGAACATCAAGGCAGACCAAGTGGATAAAGTTAGACAATGGAGTGGTTTGTTTTCTCAGAAAGGTATGTGTGCCCACAGCTGGTTCTGCCATAGCAATCCCTTATAGGGTCCTGAGGATCATAGAATCATAGAATATCAGGGTTGGGAGGGACCTCAGAAGGTCATCTAGTCCAACCCCCTGCTCAAAGCAGGACCAATCCCCAACTAAATCATCCCAGCCAGGGCTTTGTCAAGCC